TTAGACAAGTTAACAACAACAGGCAACTAGATGCCTATTAGAGTGTAGAAATGAGTAAACACAATAATATCATGAATAACGATAACGGACCTATACCAAAGAGCATATACTATATAACTTGTTGAAATAAAATAATATTGTTGGGTTTACTGATTACTACATAAGGACACATTGCAAAAATAAATTTAGATAGGCAATATTGTGAAATCAATTTTTATATAGCAGAAAATTGTTTTATATAAACATATATTGTAAATTAATAGATAAAGCAAAATTGTAAAATTAATTCAAGTTGGTATACCTGTATGGATGGTACACCTGGATGGTTTACCTGTATGGGATACCTATATAGCATAAATAGGGTTAACTTCGCATTAGTTTCTAGTTTTAGTCTTCCTCTTTCAAGATGATCACTTGGTGATCGAAACAAGTGTCGAGGTGTTAAAAATAACGATTTGGTGTTGGGAAAAAACTCCAGTAATATTCATTCTTTCACTTTGTCAATGACTTCATTTTGTGACACGATATTATGTTTGCTCATGGATTCGTTATGGATATGAAAGTCAAACTCTCAAAGGCTGGGAAATCTACTCTGTGTGCCTGCCCAGAAATAAAAGAGCGTCAAAAACGAAACATTCTAGAATTGTCAAGCTACGGGAGAATCATCCCGGAAGAGATTGTTGGGCCTGGTGAAATCAATTAAACAATCACATTAAAAAAACATTTAATGGTACATATACAGTAACACTAACTCTTGGTAACTATATTACAAAACTACATAATTGTTCTAGTAAAGCATGTATTACAGTCTTATGATTACAATAAATGCTCAATTAAAATATTTCATATGAATAAGACACTTAGATTTTTAATAAAATGGAAATTTTTGAGATTTTCAAATTTATTCTGAAACCATTTTCTATAGAAAAAATGAATACATTGTCTTTGGTATACATTACTTTCCATTAACAAATGATTCATACCATATAAATTATATTACTATATATACAAAGGGACCCAGAACAATCAAATATATCTGTTTTCATATTTCATTCAAATTTGGTATGTCTCTACAGTAATGAACAAAACATTAATTAATTATAAAACTTTTTTTTGTTACTGCTGGTTCAGCCATAAGTATTTCCTAATTCTCTTGAAATCCCTCATATAAATAATTTTGTTTCATAGGATCAATAGAGGAATAGTTAAAAAAAATTTTTCATGGGAAACAGCGTATTTTTTAAATACACAATAAAAAGTAGTGTTTTATTATTAGAAATCTAGGTTAGGTGACAATTCAGAGTAAAGCATTAATGGGAATACTTACCGAATTTGAAAGAAACACGTTTTGCACACAGAAATATTGGATATTTCCCAAACTTTTGGCGTACCCTACAGATATTTTAAAAAAAAGTATAGTACTGCTATTTATATGTTTTGGTTTCATAACTGAAAACTATTATTTTTAGCATTTTTATTAGATTATTCAATTTTGTGTTAGAAATTGTAGTTTGAAACCAAAACAGAGGGCATAATGAAGCTTGAAAAAATCTCAATGCATTAAGTACGGCTATATCACAATGTTACACAATACAGAACATACTATATATAAAATATACCAGATATAAAAAACTGGTAATTATTATTCTATTTTCATTTAGAAATTGGAATGACTTAATAAAAATTAGAAAACTGAAAGCTCAGTAATGTTTTGATTGTTGACAAATGAAGTTCCCAGATATATTCAGTCTAAACTGAAAGGTCCTCAAACCCTGATTAAAAGAAATTTCTCAATATAGAGCACCCTTGACTCAATAGCAAGGTTCAACAGAGATTGGTGATTGTATATTGAGTAGCAGAATTCAACAGTTTTACTTCGATTTTAATAACATTTGACCATCTCAGCAGGATGAAAATTGCCACTCATGACTGATTATTCATGGAATATTGCAAGATTATTATAAGTTTCATTCTGCTCAACAACAAAAACACAACCCCCACACATCACAACTGCGTGAGTTCTCTCTTCATGAGTGTTGCAGTCCTGGTGTGCGAGAGAAGTGTTTGTGATAGATTTATTCTATGTGAGAAGTTCCAGTTCTACCTTTCACTGTAGGTTTTTTTTAAACGTATCTGTCTCTCCTCGATACAGTCCTCAGATACGTTTATTTCATTACATTATAATAGATATAATCAAATCATTCTTCCCTATACCTTCTCTTGTGATTCTAAATGAGCAATGAAAATTAATGCCTTATTTTTGAAAGATCTTCCTATCATCAAAGGAAAACAGACTAGACAAAATTATAATGATTTTAAAGTTTTTGTAGAACAATTTTTTTGCTGGTTCAATAATTGTTGATTTTAATCAGATGCAGGTACAACAATTTGGGAACCACATTGAAATGAAAACAACATTTTCATTATTTTCCTAACACTGAATAAATAAAGATATTTCAATTTTTTAAACTTACTTTATCTGTGAAACTAGTAAAGATCTTCAAAAAACTATGTCTTACTCTTTAAATACGCTGAATTTCAAATAATTTTACATCAGTATCATACCAAATTGGTGGATCAACATTCCTGAAAAAAACAAAACGATGAATTTTGTATTAATAAAAGTCGACCTGAAATTACCTCAAGTAGATCACACCCCACATGTATGTTCGGAACCAAGTTGTGGTACCTGAATTTGCCTGATATTTCCTTATAAGAATAGGATGGGGCACAGGTAATAGTCCAACTAAAGTTCCATGCTGCAGAAACTTCAGAATTTCACTCTCATCGGTCAGTCCTCTGAAATATATTTATTCAATAGATCATTCAATACAATGAAATGAGTAAAAAGAAAATGAAACAAACTAAACTTTTAGTTGAGAGGATTTTGAGAACAATCAGAACCCTTTATCCGTGAATTTACAAAAGATATATCTGAAAATTTCATAGATTTCATATTAATATTATATTATAAATGAAACAGACAAAAATATAAAATGTAGACATTCAAGCATGTCACAAAATCACACTTTTAAACTTCATCAACCGCGTACCATGATGTTCAAAGAAATTCATTAGTCATTCTCATATTGAGAAAGTGTATGAATTGTGGTTACAGAATCTATAATGAGAACATAACCAGTCAAAATAAATCGAATTTTGAATTAGCTGAAAATAATTTTTAGGCTTTGGGTAAATTGTTTTCATTTAAAAAAAACCCTTCTAATGAGATGCAAATAATAAACGGCATATGCCATCTACTAGTTTAAATGTGAAACCTTCAATTTCGTGCTTAGATGAACCTACAAAACTGCGGAAACAAAATTTATAAGGCAATAGGGTACTTCAAAACCCTACCCAAAATGGTTTATGTTCACGTTTCAAGAACTGACTTTTTTCTTGTATGAGTGCTGAACACTTGCATGGAGTGTTGAAAAATACGACGCCAAATATAGTTTTACAAGCTTCCTCATTCCCGTAGGTTGGGCTACCTATCGGGCGCGTCCCCAGATGGCGGATAGGGTAACGGCCAGGGGACTGGGAGCCCTGTCCAGGAAGCCAATGTGGCCTTACGGACGGGGTCGCTGGATACCTGGTCAGAAATAAGTAGGGTGAGGGGAACCAAACCTCCCCAAAAGCCTTTGCGAAACGTGCCACCATGGTCCAGCCTACCCAAGCTAAGGTGTAAGGAATCGTGCCGACAGCTGAATGGCCGAAGGGTGATATGTGGTTACGAACGATCCCCTTGAGGAATCGGGCGAAACCTCATTGTAATCAGCCTTCCTCTGGTATTGCGGGGCTCTACCAGAGTGACCAACTCTTACCCTGCTACTCGTGAGAACACACATGAATGAAACAAATACAAAAACAGACTCAGAAAAAACAAAAAACCAATCCCAAGGCTGGACAGAAATGCTCACCTCAATCTATGGCGGTGGCTGGAGATGAACAGAAATGTCCACCTCAATATACCGTTCGGAACGAGGCTGGACATGGCAGATCACCTCGTGATATAATATAAAGGCCAAGGCGTAAGCGCATTTGCGGCGCCGAGGCCAAAAGGAGAAAAAGAGCGAAAGAGGTAGGAGTGGCAGCAACTATAAGTGCACACTCCTCCTTCCCCACTTCACCTCCAACAGCAAGAGCACTTCCTGCGGCGGGCGCCAAGAGCTCCGCCTCGAATAAAAGCAAGGAACCGGCTACCCCTGCAGGAAAGCGCCCTTACGGAGGGAACCCCCAAGAAGGTCGAAGAAGCCGTGGAACAACAGTAATGTCGCTACACCTTCCAAAACCTTCACGAAGGCTGCCGTGAGACACCTCCAGGTTGCCAAAGAGAGTGTGTGTTCGGCGAGTCTTGGCCTTTACCTGCCGATATAAAGGAGATGTCTCCTAGTGTCCACCGTCCTGGAAAGGACAGAATGGACGATGACCAAGGAGGACAACTCCTCTGGAGGATGTACAATGGGTCACATGTGACCTAAATGCTGTGGGTCTACACTCACCCTCCCTACTCTACAGATACAGAAGCTTCCTCATTCGAAGTTTTGTTCACTTCTGAATATCTGGAGCAAGTTTTATAACCCGACAATTTGGCAAAAAGGAGCAGCTGTGATTAGATTCAACCAATTCTGTAAGCGCTGTAAGGAAAGCTTTTATTGGAGAGTAGTTTTTCGGTGAGCATTTTCCATGTTTGTTTGTTTTTGAAATAAGTTTCGTTTTAACTTATTTTTTGTCTCTGAACATTAGCAAAGTGAGCAGAATATAAAACAAATAAATTTACCAGGATTCTTTTGACATAGTTCTAATATTGGAATTGCTGTTTTCTAAAAACAAATATTAAAAAAATCAAATTCGTGACAAATACATTGTATAGGGTAAATCTGAATTATGTGGACTTTTCTTCCACAATTGAAACTTAGCATGTTTACAACCTATATATTTTGTAATGGTAATACGAAAATGTTGAGAACTTTGTACTTGCGATGAAATCATCAAATTCAGCCTATTTGATATCAATGAAATAAACAGCAGAATTGTTAATGAAACTCTAGACATAATTCTAGTTCCGTTAACCAATTTGATACATTTTATATTCATTTCTTGCGAATTTCCTGACATTTTCAAGTATGCTAAAGTATTTCCTTTGTATAAATAAAGTAACTCTGATCGATAATTAAAGGCCAACCTCTATTATTGGTTTCTTTTCAAAAATTTTAGAACTTGATCCAAGATACTGATGAAATATTAAAAAAAAAATTATAATGACAGATGTGTAGTTAAATCCATTCAATAAACAATACTTTCTATATTGTCTCTTTCCCAAAGCAAACGGCTGGAATTATACAGTTTGAAAAAGACTATAAATTGGATGAAAAAACGTGAGTCTTCTACTCCCAACTGTGTTAATAACGGATGCGGCCATACAAACACCAAATGAATAATGAACTTACTTATCTATACAAATTTTCTCAACCTGGGGTACAAGAACTTGCAACAAGCGCATTATTGTCTGTAGAGGTAATTTACTTTTCCATGAATGTACCCATTCGCCAGTTGGTACCCATTGCCCATTCTGACTAACATTTGGTCCTGTGACCCTAAGACTATTTCTCTGGAAAAAATTTCAAGTAAGTTTTTTGAAGAATGTACATTCAAATCAAACTTACAGTGTTTACTGTCCTTGTGAAAGATGATTCCGATATAGTGGGACTTCTGGTTGGCTTAGGCACAATTTCTTGACTTGATGTCTGAAAAAAAAGTTTTTCAGTAAAGAATATATTCCAATGGTAAGATAATAACAATGAATATTTTAAAAATGAATTAAAAATATGAACAGCTGAAAGGATAGATTTTGAATAGTGAGTTCTTGTATAAGCGGTTATGAAAAACCCATAATACTACATTGAAAATGTTTTAAAACCGTTTTTTTTTAATAATCCACAAAAAAAGATATTTCACACTCAAAGTACTTCAATTTTTCAGTCTACAATTTCCATTTTATTTTAATAGTGATACAAATTGGTGGCTTTTTTTATTCATATCCAAACAGACCGAATCGGTCTCATTACATGGATAAATTAAATCTAATTCAAGGCTTAATGATAACAATACACATAATGCAGTTATAGCACACATAATATCATTATACACTCATATATAAAAAAAATCTAAGGAAATGCACCTAAATTTACTTTGTGTCCAATCCAAATTGAAGTTGTTGGCTAGTTGAAACAGAGGAGGTACATTAAATTTGATCGAAGCTAACAGTTCAGGGGAATTTATTATATTTTTGATAGTTTCGGAGAGATAATACAAAGGAAGGTCTCGAAAAGGAACTAGGCATCATCAAAAATGACCTTCAACGGAATGTTTACTCCGAAGTGATGATAGAACAGGCCTTAGCTAGAAGACAGCAAGAACTCCACAAGGAAGAGAAGCCGCCACAACAAGTACTTGTACTTCCCTACATCAGAGGATTATCGGAAAGACGGATTGGGTCCAAGTATAACATCAGGACCTGCTTCAGATCTGGGAACACTATCCGTAGCAGCATCACGAAAACCAGGCCACCAATCGCGGACTGCGATTCCAAGAATTTCATTTACCAGATACCCTGCGAGTGCGGAGAATCATACATTGGTGAAACTAAGAGGCCATTGAAAGTTTGCATTGCTGAGCACAAGAAACACACACAGCGAGGAGAAACCAGCAAATCCGAAATAGCAGAGCATGTTTGGACTCATCAACACAACATCAAGCGGGCTCAAGCTGAAATCATCCACAAAGAGGAACACTGATTTAGGAGAAAATTGAAAATTCAAAGAAGCCGCGTATATGTTGTCCAACAACGCATTTAGTCAAGCTAGCGTAGAGATACGTAACATATGGAAACGTCTAATCAAGCGAAAAACGACCAACTCCCGCCAAACGGTCATCTCCCGCCAAAACCAATGAAGCGGAAAGAGGGGATAGGTGAAAGCACTCGAATGACCTATAGTCAGATCTCGGAGGAATAAGTCCAGTTATCACCCGAAGACGATTGTGGATACTAACAATCGAAACGTTGTGCCATAACTTGGTTTGAAATATTTTAATTTTTACGTTTTTCGGTTGATAATATTTTTAATTTTTCAATTTTTTCAACTTTTATTAATATTTCAATTTTTATTTGTTTGGTTGTTGCTTGTATGTTATTTCTTTGTAATTTCAGTTTTTTGTTTAATAAAATTGTTATTTTCGGTTATTTATTACTATTACTTCCTGTTTCAGTCATCATTACTTGATCAGGTGAATTGGCAATCTTGTATATGGTTCAGTGGGAAGTTTCTTTCTCATATCAAATTCACCTCTTCTGAATACTTTGGCAATGCCGTTTAAACTCAGGGTTGTTACTTCTCATTACTTCGCTAACATTCACGGTTTGCACAGATTTTTTTCAACATAATACCTCTATAAACCAGTAAATATCTCGGAGCTCATTCATGATGTGTTTACGCTTGCATATGCACATGTACAGCATAGATTTACCAAACAGAAAAGACTCAATATACTTGATGTCACTGGTTGCATCAGAGTTAATTAAAACCTCGCCAAAGCCTTCAACTGTGTTAACTACAAAATTTTTCTGACAAATGTGTAAAAATATTAAATGAGAATAATCTTACTTAGATCCTTCATTTGCTCACTCACAGCAAGTTACAATAAGGAATGTTACCTCTAGCAAGAAAAATGGCACTGAAAAATTTACAAGCATCGAATCTAGGCCTTTCACTCTTCATGGAAAATATAAATGTTATGTTTGAAAATGTTCCAGTATCTTCATCACGGCTAACACAGAAAAACAATTTGTTGAAATTTGATTTGATTATTCAATTCAGTTGCCTTAGAAGGCGATATAACAATTATAGCGGTAATACAATTTTTTTCGATACCTTTTCCATAGTATGATTTCTCTTTGACCTCAAAATAGGCCTCAGTTTCGACGATTACCTCTCCATCGGCACTAAATTTCTTTCCAGCGAGCATTCTCTTGACGTTTGAGAACACCAAAAAGTCGCTAGGGGCCAGATCTGGAGAATACGGAGGATGTGAAAGCAATTCGAAGCCCAATTCATACAACTTTGACATTGATTCAATTGATTTGTTACGCGGTACATTGCCTTGATGAAAAAGCACTTTTCTACAAATGGGGCCGTTTTTCCGCGATTTCGTCCTTCAAACGCTATGTAATAGTCGCTTTTGATGATTTTTCCCTTTCCTGTGAACTGTCAAATTTGTACACGTGTCTTCTTAAGGTTAGGGTTAACTAAAAATAATATGGATTAAGTACTAGTAGCGCCATCTATGTGTTATCCTACGAACGAAATGACATGAGAGATAATCTGAGGTGTTCGAAATTGGAGATTTGTTCAATAAGGCAACTACGCAGCATTCATATAAAATAGGACAAACAATCGCAACTTGTCTATTCAGTCCGACACTTTTTTTGTAGGCAAACAGGTCTCTTTCATGTGGAATTAGAGTATACACATGCTCAAAATACATTTAAAGTCATTTCTGTTAGATAAAAATTGTTGCACAATAAGTGAATTCTGTGCATCTACTCAGAATAAGAAATATTATTAAACAATCTGCTCCCAAATTTATTCAATAACCCAATTACAACTCAATACCATATTTTAGTGATACTTTGTAATTATCGCACTTCTTGTACATTGTCATTTCTGTCAGAGGCAGATCGTTCGCTAGATATGTGCGTATCGGTATTTAAATTAGTTTATATTACTTCTTGTGTGTACTCTAGTACTCTACTTATCACTTATTTACTTTTTTTAAATATGAACAACTTGCTAGTTAGATTTGTAATTCATTTTGATAATATTTTTCAACAAAAAATATGAATGTCTGTTTCTGAAGTTAACTGTATGAATAAATATTAACAAAAATTTCCTTTCAGACAAACATACCCACCTGCTCTTCATTGTCATTTCCAATAGTAACTGTCGTTTTCGAAGGAGTATTCAAAGTTACTGCAGCCATACCATTTGTTATTGATAAAGTTTCTACTTGTTGTGCTGCAGGATGTGCCGATTCGCTTTCAGTAATTTGGCCAATTTGTGGTGTATCTGGCAAAGTTGCCTTCAAAGTTCCTGGTTCTGCAGGCAAAGCTGGATGTGATCCTTCCATCGCTAATTCTGCTACATTATCATTACTGGTAGAACTAGACAGTCGAGTCTTAGCTTTTCTGTTCATCGATTTTACAATGGCACCATAATCACTTGGCAAATTTGCTAAACTGTGAAATACTTGTCTCTTCCTGATGATAGTATACACAAGATTTGAATTACCATCAAATTGATACTGGATGATGTTATTGAAAATTTCTAATAGAAAAAACACCAAATGATGGTTTGAAGATGCAGAGAAGAGGAACCAGGGTGTGCTAAAAGCCTCTAAAAGGTGGAGAAGTTTTGTACTAGCAACCATCGAAAGCGTTTTCAAATAGGGAGAAACTGGAATATATAAAAAAAGATGAGTTTATAAAAATTATTCAGACCAAATATTTTCATTACCATTGACTAGAATTGTGAGTAAGCAATCAAAGAGTGGTTGCAAGCGTTGGTGACCTGTGGTAATAATTTTGTGAAAAACTATTATAAGAAGATCCGCGTGAGTTCCTGTGAATACAGGAATATCCATCGGAATTGTAGCTGTATAGGGTTTGTTGAGCCGTACACCAAAATTTCTTTCACCAGAAAGCAGAAGCAAGATAAAGACTCCTATATGCATTAGACCAACACGAGCTAAAAAATGAAATATTAATCATTGGACCTTCCATACCAAATAACTTACATTGATCAGCTCTAGAATCATTCAAATGGTACAGAATGGGTACAAGTACTTCCAAAACGTCACTACTTTTCAAAACATAGTATAAAAATTTCTGAAATATCAATTTGCTATTAGTCAATAAGTAATTTTTAAACCGCAATTCACGACATACCTTATTATAATCACACATTTTCCAAAAAAAAACTAAAAGCTCTTGATGAAAATGAACTTTTTTGGTAGAATTGGGTAAATAAGTCTGAACTAATGGATTATTCAATAATCTAGTTACTCCAGTCAATATGAAGTTGAAATCTTCATCCCTATGAATTCGAGACAGGTAATTTATAAAGAGATTGTCAGGAACAGAAACCTTAAAAAACAATCAACTATTGATTCAAATCTGTAAAAAGTTCAAAACCACACAACAAGTCTATACATAGAACATGAATCCATTATAACAAAATAACTGTAATGAAATGAATAAAAACACCTCATTATCAAGTGTAAAACTACACTACAAGTGTAGTTTTACACTTGGGTTAAACCCGAAACCGGTCGTATAAATGAAATCAACTAGTGGTAATTATACAAAAGTATTTTTATTCATTTCATTAAAGTGATCGTCAATTACCACAAAATAAACAAGTCATCAATCACACATATAACAAAATAAATTAAGAAAAAATAAGAACGAATATAATATCTGTCTCAAACATCATCAATTTGACTGCCTAACAAATCTGATACATTTTTCATATGATGAAAGAATTGGAATTTTTCATTTAAATTACAGCTGCCGGACTGAGTCATGACTGGTGAGAAGCCCCTCCCTCAAGAAGTGCAGTAGATGTGTAGAAATCTTTTATCCGTCTGTTAGATTATTCGAGCCGCAAATATCCAAATTTATTTCCGTATTCAGTTAGTGATGTTGTTTAAAAGTAAATTGCATAAACATATTTTAAATAGTCAAACTCGTGAAGATACGACACGAGTTCTCTAACCATATGATTTATGTCATTCAAATTGTAAAAATATTTTTGAGCTGAGGTATCTCAGACAAAAAAATAAATTTTCTCGAATTTCAGTCATCCCCTAAAAAGGCAGTTTCTTGACGTGCATTTCGCTAACCAAATTATTATCATCAGGACATGACTAACATAACAGTCTTCTGATTGTGCTAACTCCGTTAGCAAAACGCATGTGGAGAGACAGCATTTCTATTCTGGTGAGGGAGAAATGTTCTCAATACATTCATTTCACGTCAGAAGTTCCAAATTATATTTATCAAGTGTAGAAAATATGTTATTATTGTATTAAATTATCAAAACAAAAAATTTATTTCAGGACGTGGTTTTGAATTCAAGTAGTCTTGCACACCAGTATCAAAATTTTGTGACAAAAAAACCCAAGGTATATATGATAGAACTGACCGATACTTGATGAAAATCCATTATAACGTATTCAAAAAACACGCTTTAATGAGGGTTTGTTTTTGAAAATGTACAAAACGGCGACACGTGTTTCGCTATACAATAGCATCTTTGGGCGTCACAATACTGTTTGTACAAATTTTGTGTCAAACTTTTATAAAAATATGAATCATTATAAATATTACTACCTGCCAAATTTCTACATGATATGTTCATTACCTAAACTATTTACATATCTAGAAACAACTCATAAGACTAGAGAATAATGAATAACAAGTTTCATCTGAGCTATCATTTTACCTACTTTTAAGATCTGTCCTGATTTATCAATTTCCTCCTTGCAAACTAAATTCAATGAAGGGGAACAATTCAAACCTATTTGATCATTGAGTAATAATCCCGAATTTTTACATCTATTGATTTCTAAACATTCCAGAAGAAGAGTTTTGAACCTGTCTCTTCCAAATGCAATTTGTCATAATCGTAATTGAACTCATGCCCATCTATCAAAAGATGATTCGCGAATGTTGAATTTGTCTTTCCATTCAAAAAATTACTTATATGATCTTTAATTCTTTTGAAAAAAGGTCTTCCGGTTTATCCAATATAAATTTTGGACAAGAACCACAAGTCAACTTGTACAAACCTGATCTATCCAATACTGAAGTTTTATCTTTATTGTTTTCAATGAATTTGCTCTGTAGGCTACGTCCAATTTTTTGCCTTTTGAAAAACAAGCAATATTATTAGTAGGATCAACAAAGTAAGTAAAAGTTATATCATGTTCAATATCATTCTTTGAAACTGGACATACGTGGTTCAGAATTTGTTTCTGCAATTTTTTTAGAAATAATTGAGTAAATGATATCCACCTCGTAACCATTGTTCACAGCAATATTTTTCATGAAAATCAGTTCTCTTTGAAAATTACTTTCTGAAAGTGGAATATTCAATAGTCTGCAATCATACAATTGAAAGCTGCTACTTTATGTTGATATGGATGTATATTACTGGAGTTTTTTTCCCCAAAACCAAACCATTATTTCAACACCTCAACACGTGTTTGATCTTTCTCTTGAAGATGATCACTTGGTGATCGAAACACGTATCGAGTTGTTGAAATAACGGTTTGGTGGTGTACTACACCAAAGGTTCCAAACAGTGTATCACAAGTTCATGGATGTATACATAGAAAAACATAGTAGTTTTTTTAATGTAAAGACCAATTCAATATTTGCGAATCATCTTTTGACAGACGAATATGACATATTGCATTAGAAAGAGAAAGGTTTAAAACTCGACCTTTTGGAATGTTTAGAAATCAATAGATGTGAAAATTCGCGATTATTGCTAAATGATAAAATAGATTTGAATTGTTCCCCTCCACTGAATTCAGTTTGCAATGAGAAAATTAATAATTAGGACATATCCTAAAAGTAGGTAAAATGATAGCTCAGGTGAAAATTGTTATTCATTATTCTCTAGTCTTATGAGTTGTTCCCAGATGGTTTATGTAATGGATTTATCATGTAGAAACTTCACAGGTAGTAATAATCATAATGATTTGAATTACTATAAAACTATGACACAGAATTTGTACAAATAGTATCGTGACACCCAAAGATGCTATTGTATAGCAAAACACGTATCGCGGTTTTGTAAACCTTCAAGTAAAATCTTGTATCAAAGTTTATTTTTCTCCCTTCAAGTTTCAAGTATGCTTTTTTTCAGGATTACCTCACATGCTAGTATCTCTGAACTCAGCAGGTGATTAGTGCAATAAGGGCTATCACCATAACCAGTGTTTTATATAACAGTACTTTTTGAGTGTTTCATTTACCAAACTCACTGTACAATATATATTTTATAAAATAATTGTTCTGGAAAGGTTTGTTATTATTCAGTGTATCATGCCTGAATCTTCATGGATGGATGAAGTGTTATATTTTATGTTTTGTGGGATTGTCACGTTATTCCATATTTCATCTCAAAACTTTTTTATTACAACACAAAATGTAGGTTTTTGTGAAATTTCCCTTGTTTCAAAAGGTTACCCACTGAAAGGCATTTAGAAAGATGAGTCGAGATTTTATATACGGAATTTTCAACTACTACTGAAAGAGTTTGAAGCATCATGAACAATGAGAAATGAAACTTTTTATATTTTTTCACCACTTTTACCACAAGTGGTGAATAAACATAAGTTTTATTTCTCATTTTTCATGATGCTCTCTTACCATGTAGTAATGACTACATCCATTAATTTTTTTAAGAACCAGTTTCAAGAACAAACTCAGTTCGAACTCTCTTATCGGTGAACAATACATTCATTTGTGGAAAGAAAATGTTTGAACTTTAAAACGTTTCAAGAAGTATAATGTTAAAATGGAAGTAGATGCAAATTTAATCATAGGGATTAGGATATGAGTGAACAGATTGATGCAAGATTTGAAATAATGAGATGTACCAACAAATTTACAGAAATCGTGTTGAATTCAAAATCACAGTGAGAAATCATAAGAAGAAATGATTCTCAAAGAAATGCATCAGAAAATTGAAAAATATTATTGGGAGTTTTGCAGGTGAATGAATAATTTAAAAAATAATTCATAACTCATAATAACAACTTGTTGTAATTTCTTGTTCTAGTTAGGATAGTATGTTGATGTTAGACGAGTTGAGCAATTTGAAAAGTTCTGTTATTTACTCATTGTCAGTATATATTACATGCCAGAAAATTAATTAGTATCATAAGGAGGTGTATTGAATAAAGAACTCCATTTGAAATTTTTTGTAAAAGTTACTTTCAGATTATTTTCTACTGATTCTTATTACTATGAGATATGAGATATTTTCTAGGTAGCCTATATATCTATATATAAATATGCTAAAACATCAATCAATTTTGTCAATTTGACAGTAGTCATATTATTCACATTACAATTAAAAAAAACTATTATAAAAAATTGAGTTGAAACTAAGTATAACATTGGAACTTTCTACTATGGAGTATAGTAAAAGAATAGTTGTTCACAACTTCTACATACTGCACAGTTCTCCTCCAAGAAAGGTCTTGTTAATATTATCATTAATTATAAGCGGTTGCACAGGGGACAGTTTTTGAAAAGTTTGTATTGAAGTTTAGAGTGTCAGTTGTCAGTCACAGGCTTGTTTTCATGGGTTATTTCAAACCAAGGGAATTAACCAAAGAACATATAACTTGTTTATGAAATCAGAAACTACATGTAACACTATTTCTCATGAATTATGAACATTATTCAATAAGTGTCATAAGAATACACATAAATCAACTTGTTTATAATTTCTACCTACGTCTTCACTTTCGGCGGGAGTAGAAGAACTTGTGTCATGATCTAATGTAACAATAAGAATCTGAAGAGCAGACTCCACCAAAGGTTCGAGAGAATCATTGAACAACAAATGATTATAAGGAACACCAAGACCTACTGGATCATATGCACATACTGTGTTCAATAAGGATGTAAACATCGGGAGGGCATGTCTATTTTCTGCTGATGTCAAGTGCCTGAAAAAATTATAACAATGAGCACAACAATATATCTCATAGGAATAATGGCAAGAAAAAAATAGAGTGAATTGGGCCATTAGTTTCTGACATTCATATAACCTTTCTAAATATATATAGCTGTATTTAGACATATTTGTGAGCTTATTCATCTAGGAAGCTTTGAATAAATGTCAGGTAATAATGTCCTAATCCATGAAAAGCTCACAGAATCCATTTATTGGGATTTTCACTTATGTCGGCTGGCGGTTGGTACATGGTTTCACTAAAGCAAGTCAAAAGGAGTTTTAGTAACTCAGTACGATTTGAATCAAAATTTGGGTGTCTTGGAGGAGAATGTGCAAAGCCAACTCCGGCTTCCCAGATATATTCACAGCTGTCAATTGCCGATAACTCTTCTGCTTTATCCTGGGGAAGATGAAGGTGAATTGAAAGGTTCAACTTATTTTCTAGTTATACTCACTGGCCCACTCTTCCTGCCAGCCAATACCGTGAAATCAGGGCAAAATAGTAAATCCTGAAAAATAGTTATGTTGTGAGTCAGCAACAGGTTATATGTGGATTATAACAAAGTATCAATTATTTAAGAACCATACTAATTCTTGACTTGAAACATCCTGCACAAATATTATGGGAAATGTTGTTCAAAATCATCAATTAACATATTTTTTCATGAAGCCACCTTCAACAGACCTATTGGAATTTCCCTATGTATTTGAAAGTATTTTCAATCATAATACTGAATTCGTTGAAGAAAACATTGATGCCACAAAGAAAGTATAGAATCTATTTTTACTATGAGGTCGAAGCTGACATTTTGAAAAGACCGAATGATGATTTTGTTGAAATAGTATTGTAGTTATCAAATGACTATTAATAACTTCTTCAATAGAAAATGTATTTACCAAGTTTTGACAGCTATATATATTTATATCTGACAAGTCAATCCACACCTCACCAAAAATTGTTTCTTTATATTTGATTTCTTCTAAACACTTTATATTGGGCGCTAATGTCTATGATGATGTGATACCACAGTATTTTACTTCATAAGTCCGAGTACGACATGTATCATATGATATTTCATTTCATTCATTTATCCATGATATTTCATGGATAAATTAAATTACAAATAGTACTTATAATACTCACGAAAAAAAAATTACCAATTTTAGTTGAGCAAAATTTAAAAAAATGATAATTAGGAGTCTAATTTTTCATTTACTAAAGTTGGTGGAAAAATGTATTATACAAGTGAAAGTGCCTATACTGTTAATGTTAGCAATTCTGTACTCATACAAAGACCCTCACTTTCATATGCTTTATTAATCGCATATTTTTACCATTTGTATATTTACCGTTTATATTGTAATACTTCATTGTTTATTTTTTCCTATTGGATTATAGGTTGCAGTATGGAGTGTGTGTTGGTGCAAGTTTTGCTAAGTTTACAGGAGATGATGATAGTCATCTCCTGATTTTCATGACATTAATTTCAAGTCAGAGGTGCCAATTCTACCTATAAAGTAAGATAAACATCAGATGTCCGCCATTGAGGATGACAGTGTTCCATGTAAGTGAAATTCACCATTTTTCATATAATATATTGTATAGCAATCCTGTGAATAATATCTGATTCAATTTCCTAACAAATGTTTGGAGTACAAACTGAATAGGAAAAATTATTTTCTATATAATTCAATGTTTATATGTTTCGAGACAGCTTTTCTTTCAGTTTAAGTCTGAAAGTTACTTCTTTGCATGATCTAAAGAGTGAAATTAATTGCTTTCTTAAATTTTTTGTATAAAGATGGAGAAGTAGAAACCCAGAAACCTTTCTTTCCCAAAAATTAATCTCACCTAAAAATATACCCCTTTTAATTTGAACATCATTCTGAATTCACAGCCAGTTGTGATGTAATAAGAACTTTTGTTGGACATGTTCTTCAGGTATATCTTTAAAGTTTCAGTTAATATTTAAATTTAAAAAAATATCGGTATTAAATTATATTTTTTGCCTCTCACTTGGGCTTCACAACTCAATTTTGTCAGCAGGAATTTGTGTTTTTCAGACAACTGATCAAATTAAAAGAAATAGCAATGGTTAAGTGATCAAATGAAATTACTGTGGTTTTTCATTAAGAAGTACAATTTGAGTTGATATTGAGTCCAAATGAACAAAAGTGTGGTTTGCAATAATTGTAAATTCGTATAATTTTATTATATGTCTAGTCATTTAGAAATTGTGTCACAATATTATAAAATTTTTTGTCCAAAGAGAAGTACCTATTAGGTATTTTGTAAATAGGTAAATAGGAGAATTCAAAATAAAATAGTGTCCAATATCCTAATACTTACACATACAGAATTCAAAAGAGAGTGGGCTAAGGGAATAGATTCTTCATCATCCTCACCATGGTTAGGTAATGAGGACCAAAAAAATCCTTTCCACTCTGAATCCTCAAAAATGTAGGGTAAAATTCTTGTAAGTAATCGCACACAATTCAAAACTGAAATAGAATCAATTAATGAAAGGAACTTTCCTGTTAGCTTGCTACACAAATAGAATTACTTGAAGGGATAATAGTATTATTATGTTTTGTGCTAAACTAAAAGTTTTGATTTTATTGAAAAATGTATTTATAAGTACATATTTCCTTCATTTATGTGTAAAATTTCTGTGAAAAAATAATAATAGTTGTGGAAGATTTCTTCCAATTGAAAAAGAATTACTAATGTCTAGTTTATTAAAAAAAATGAATAATAATTGTATTTTACAGGAATAGATACTTTATGTATTCAATGTTGAATTATTCAAAACTGAACTCCATTAAAAAAATATCTATATGAAGTAGAGGGGTTGTACCTTTAAAAACTTATGTCAATTTCTTATGATTAGAAACTAATAACATGTCAAACAACATTTTCACTGAAAACTAGTAATCCAAGTTCTTCGGGAGTTGTTATTAAAAATGTACAACAAAATATGACTTATTACTTAAAACTGGTGTATGAATCTCTAGACTTGGTTTAGTGATAGTTGAATATAAAAACAAATAATTACCAGTTTGTTGTTCATAATGTGTTCTACAACTGTTATCCACAGCTTTTACAAGTTTTTCAACAGCTTTGTAACATAATGTTGCTAAATTTGAAGGAGCGTCTTCTCGTAACTGTCTAATTTCAGCAGCTGGAACCAAAGTGAAAATATCCTGTACATGTGTCACATTCTCAGACCAGAATTGTTCCCAGAAGGAATCGTCATTTGCATCTATAGGCTAGAAATCAGAACATATTAATGTTACAGCAGAGGCTACATTCATATAAATTGTATTTATAATCAATAACATTTTTTTTGAAAGGGGACTGAATTGAAATAATTACTTCTGACTTTGAGGTAAGTTGCACTACAGCCTTCCTGAAATTTAATTTGGTGTCAACATTCCCCATATTTCGAAAATCAGATTTGTTTCAAAATTATTTTATTTGATTCTCACAGAAACAAGTAACAAAACAAATTTGACAGTGTGACGTGACAATGACACAGAATAAAACCAGATAGTAGAATTAAAATATGTTCCAAAAGTTACTAGAAATGTGGTTTGGTGTTTCTGAAATAATCGCTATTGTGGTTCTACTGAAAAACTGATCAAATATGAAACACGGTTTTTTGAAAACTGGTGAACCAAAATACTAACTGATGATATTGTCACAGAATGATGCTAAAACAAGCAGTAGTTTTACTGTCGTCGGAACCTCTGATGTTTGTGGCTCACAGTTTTATTTTTTACAACTATTGCGTAGTGTCCGACCGAAAGTTCGGTTTCGGTCGAGTTTCAGCAAAAAAACGGGTTTCAGTTTAGTTTCGGCGGCAAACCTACCGAAACCGAAACTGCATTCGGGAGTTCTCGCGCTGTGGTCGTCATGTTCGGCGTGTTAAATTTCATACAAGCGACGAAAACATTTTGTCGCGTCCACGCCACGTCCACGTGTCTAATCATGTCGTGACTCGTGATTTACCTCGTTTATTACACAAATATTAGGTACCTATTGTGATATTAGGTAACAACTTAAATAAGTAATTTTATGTTTGATATTTAAAAAAAAAACAATAATATTCAAAAGAAGAATCTACACCTACTCAAATAAACGACTCACCTATTTTATGTAATGTTCGACCGAAACTGGTTTTTACGACCGAAAACGAATCTCGTCAACGGTCTCAGTTTCGGCCGAAACCGAAACTTCCTTGCAAGGATTATGTTTTGAGGAAAAAATAAAGAAAACGTTATTATAATCAGTCAGTCTTTAGTTTTTTAATCTTTAAATCACAATGTTATGCAGTCTTCGACCTTTTTACTTATTGATAATCAACAAATCAACATAACAACCCCTTATTAAAAAATATATTAATTTCACCTTAAAAATACTTGAAATAAGTGTCCGACCGAAACTGGTTTTTACGACCGAAACCAAATTTCGGCAACGGTCTCAGTTTCGGCCGAAACCGAAACTTCCTTACAAGCAAGGCCGTAGCCAGGAGAGGATCAAGGGGGATTGATCCCCCCCGAAAGTTCTTCAAGCAACGGCAGTCCAAAAGTTATATCAAATACAATGATTGGCTTGTTTAAACATCACAGGAGTCATCACAGGAGTCACCAACCGCGGCAATGGAATTAATTACTGTTCTGTCCCCTCTGGACCTGTACGTTGTGTTAATGACCACGTAACGATTGCACACGGCTGGTGTAAACCTCGAAGTAGGAATGGGACAATTGAGACTGAGCCTATGGCGAGAAGCACACACTGTCCAACCTCTGCTGCTGGCAACCAGTGATGCAATTGAACCCAGGTTTGTGTTTAATAAACCCTACAAAATACAAATAAAACAGAACACAAGGTCAGATGATACAAATGCAATACGCATACAGACGGCTCAAAAACCAAAGGAGGTTCACGATGTGGAGTGTATTCCAAATCACTAAGCCTAAGGATTGAGTAGAGAATGGGAAAAAATACCAACGTGGTTCAAACAGAACTGGCTGGTATCTCAATCGCCACAAAAGAAATAACCAGGAAAGGAATTCCTGGCAAAAAAATAACAATCTGCACTGATAGCAGACAAGCCCTATCAGCTTAGAACAGACGTGTTACCTCAGGGCTACTACTAGAGTGCCACCAAGATTTAGCCAAAGCCTCGGTAGATAATAACATTATCCTGAAGTGGATTAAAGGGCACGACATGGCTGAAGAGTCGCCGTCGCCGGATCACCCTGGCCGTCCCTGGGAAGTTGGCGCCGAAGAATTATCTAGCGATGACCAGGAAAAATCTATGCTTAACAGTAGGATTTCTGACCGGCCACTGTCAACTAAGGAAACACCTCCATAATATGGGGCTAGTGGACACACCTACATGCAGGATGTGTGAACAGGAAGATGAAACTGTCAGGCATGTCCTATGCGAGTGTCCGTGGCGAACCAGTGGCCACTCCCCACACTGTGGGGTAAGTGATCATTGGGTCCAAAATTCATGTTCCATGAGCAAGCGCAGCAAGAATGACAGCCTTCTGCATTAGTCTGGCTGAGATTTTTGCCTTACTGTGGCATGCCGGCATAACCTTGAGATTTAAGAATATAAAAAGCATCATCCCACCAAGGAATCCAACAATCAGAGCAATTAGCATTATTATTTTTTTCAACCTAAGGTTGTTCTGGTTGGGCTCTATCCCTCGGAGCTCCGTTACATTCAGGAGGGCACGCCAGCATTTTCAACCAGTGGCCACTCCCCGCACCGTGAGGTAAGTGATCATTGGGTCCAATAATCAGAACAATCCTCTTGATAGAGTAGTCTAGATAGATTCTGTGGAGTCATTACCTCAGGGCTACTACTAGAGTGCCACCAAGATTTAGCCAAAGCCTCGGTAGATAATAACATTATCCTGAAGTGGATTAAAGGGCACGACATGAGTAAAGGTACTCGCATTGCCGACTCTTTAGCCAAGAAAATGGCTGGACTAAGAATTTTAGGACCCAGTGGCACCTACGGCCTGATGACTTTGACAATTGCGGAACTAGCCAAACGTTACACCCACGCTCAATCCCTAAAGAGATGGGATGAAATCAAAGGATGCACTCTTGCCAGGATTACCCTGGGCGTCCCTGGGAAGCTGGCGCCGAAGAATTATCTAGCGATGACCAGGAAAAATCTACGCTTAACAGTAGGATTTCTGACTGGCCACTGTCAACTAAGGAAACACCTCCATAATATGGGGCTAGTGGACACACCTACATGAAGCCTACATGAAGGATGTGTGAACAGGACGATGGAACTGTCAGGCATGTCCTATGCGAGTGTCCGGCGTTATCGTCAATAAGAAAGTATGTGTTCGGCGAGTTTTGGCCTACACCTGCAGATATAAAGGAGATGTCTCCCAGTGACCTGTTCACCTTTCTGGAAAGGACTGGATCGACGATAACTTAGGAGGACAACTCATTGGGAGGATGTACAATGGGTCACATGTGGCCTAAGTGCTGTGGGCCTAGACTGACCCTCCCTACTCTACAGATGCAGATACTATTGGTATTATGAAATCCCTTAAAAATTTTATCAAGTCCTTGGCAAAATGAACCAAATGTTTTAAAGAGAATATTGAAAAAAAACTTTCCCGAAACACAATGGAAAAACCTTACGGCAATGTTGTACGCACTTTCAAAGATCTTGGCGACTCCACCTGTTTCCACATGTACCCCTGAAAGGACTTTCTCTTCTCTGAAACGCCACAAAACTTATTCAAGAAACTCGATAAGCCAGGAAAGACTAAGACAACGATTTGGCGTTAATGTCAATCCACCGTAGAATTGACATCGACACCGAGGACGTAATTGATTTGTTTGCTGCAAAGAAAGCTATAAAACTAAATTTGATTTTGTGAAAAGATGTTAATATTTCTGTAATGATTTTCTAATAAATATATATGATCATGTAACACAATTTTTTCTTTCCTTCTTTATTTTTATATTTCATGTTTTTCTACTGTTCCACCAAACCAACCCCCCCCCCCGAAACTGTTTTCTGGCTACGGCCTTGCTTACAAGGATTATGTTTTGAGGGAAAAATAAAGAAAACATTATTATAATCAGTCGGTCTTTATTTTTTCATCTTTAAATCACAACGTTATCTAGTCTTCGACATTTTCACTTATTCATAATCAAGAAATCAACACAACAACCCCTTATTTAAGAAAACATATTAATTGCACCTTATAAATATTTAAAATAGATAAGGTGTTTATTTGAGTAGGTGTAGATTCTTCTTTTGAATATTATTAATGGTTTTTCTAAAATATTAAACATAAAATTACTTATTTAAGTTGTTTCCTAATATCACAAGAGGTACTTAATATTTATATAATAAACAAAGTAAATCACAAAGTAAGTCACGTGTCCGACCGAAAGTTCGGTTTCGGGTATAATCGCGCTGTGATCGGTCATGTTCGGCGCGTTGAATTTCATCCAAGCGACGAAGACATTTTGCCGCGTCCACGTGCGTAATCATGTCGTGACTGGTGACTGGCTTGTGTTTGCAGTTCATTTTGTTTGTTGTGAGTTTTCGTGTGATTTATTTGGAATTCGGTAAGTTTTATCACGTTATATTATAGCATAAGAGTAGGTAGTATAAACATCAAAAAATAATAAACAAACTAATAACATAGATTATAGTAAAATCAAGTTTAACCTAATTATCTCGCTGAACCTGAAAAAACATTCGTTAGGTACTTGGTACTTACTTACTATAGTACCTTAGTTGTGATATTATAGATTCAGAAAGGATTCAAAGGTAATTTTAATACTTATTCCCAAGGTATCCAAGTGGCAAGTACAGTACTTACCTACGTACATACCTAATTGTTTTTTGTTGTAAAATTAACACACTTATAATTAAATGAGTAGGTACCTCCCTCTTAGGTATCCGTATAATAACATTAATATTACGTTTCCAACCTCTTTCATCTATTCCGTGAAAATTCATGATAGTCAACGAATATAAATACTTGAATATAAAATGCATTGAGTACTGATTAAACCTGATAAACAATTTTTTTTTGTTGTAGTATTCTTCAATCATCGATGATGAAAGGACAATGTCGTTAAAAAACAGCATTTGGTAATTTTTCGAAAAAAATCATCTGATTCATCTAAAGCTAAGTGCAAACAGTGCAATACAAGTATTATACTTCATAATGGGGCCAAACCCGAAACCGGTCACATAAATAAAATATACCAGTGGTATTTAGACAAAAATGTTTTTATTCATTTCATTTGAGTCATCATGAATTACCATGAAGTAAACAAGTGACCAATTACACATATGTAACGAATCTAACGCCGGCCCTGACCGATATCTCAGTCAGCGAATAAACACATGACGTCACCGCAGTCGACAAACCGCCGGTTGAGTTCTAGTTGAGTACCGAAACCACTAGAGAAAACTGGAACGATCGTTACCAATATATAAGACCCGTTTCTCGTCCAGAGAGGGAGTCCCATTGGTCCTTCTCGAGACCAAAAATCAGCCGAAAGGGTAAGGGAGCTGGACTCCAAGCCTGAATGATACGAAGATAACTTTCCACCAGAGAGGAAGTCGAATTTAGAAAGTGAATCGAGTGGTAAAATAAATAATTCAAATAGTGAAAATAAATTAAGTGTTGAGTGTTGTAAATAAATTCGTTTGCGATAGTGAAATATTATTAGAAATAAATTTGTTCAAGACAGTTAATTCTTCAATTCGTTATAATTGGTGATTAGAAGTGGATGTTTAAAATAAATTTGTGAACGCTTGGTATACAATCTTTGTATTACGGTGGAATTGACTATAATACTTTCGTACAGAGAGACTGGTGATTCATTGTGTTTCGCGAAGTGGACAGTACTGGACTACGGAAATATAAACTGATAGACCTTTCTCGCGAAAAATAGACTTGTGAAAATAAATAAGTGTTTAGGACTCGATTAAAATAAGTGGACATTTTCAGTTTTGTGGAAAATAGACAATAAGAGACAAAATGTGTGCAAGGAAAGTGCGCCTAGTGGACTTGAGAGTTGCCGAATTGAAGCAAGAATTGGAGGAGATGGAGCTAGATTGTTCCGGAAAGAAATCAGTAGGTACTCCAGAAGAGACTGTGGGATAACTTGACGGAATCAGGAGAAGATCCCGAAACATATTTATTGGGAAGTTTCTGGGGGTGATTTGAGTTCAATAATGAGCAAACTCGATGAGAATATATACCAAATCGCTGAAAGATGAACTTCAACAAAATATGAAGAGCTTGAAGGAAGAACTTCTGGAAAATGCAGAAGGCTTGAAAAAAGAGCTTTGTAGTGTGGCGAGCCTACTCGAAGAAAGGAAAGGAACCATCGAGACAGAGATAGATAAAATCAGGAAGGAAATTAACACAGAAGTAGAGGAAATCAAAGGCGGAGTTCAGGCAGAAATCGAGCTATCCCCTACCGGTTCTAGATACGAACGCCAGCTACGTGGGACTTGGAGCAGTCCTCTCTCAGATCCAGGATGGACAGGAGAAAGTTATTGGCTACTTCAGCAAAACGCTCAGTAAACCAGAGCTCAATTATTGTGTCACCAGGCAAGATGTTGGTCGTTGTCAAAGGTGTAGAGCATTTCTACAAATACGTGTATGGAAACTAGCCATAAAAACGCAGATGCCCTGTCACGGAGACCAAGTCCCGATGACTGCTCACATTGCCGACGAGCAGAAGAGAAGGAAGCAGCTATTTGTAGAACTACAGCTCTAGACGACAACTGGGAGGACAATAGGATCAAAGAAGACCAAGAGAAAGAACCAGATCTTGGTTTAGTCATCGGATGGAAGAAAAATAATCAAAAACCATCGTGGCAGGAGGTAGCAGGTTATTCGCCAGCGGTTAAGTTCTACTGAGCCCAATGGAACTCCCTTACCTTGGAAAACGGGGTTCTGAAGAGGGTGTTAGAGTCTGAAGACGGTGAAGAAAAAAGGCGCCAGACAGTGGTACCCAGGAACAGACGACGGGAGGTGCTCAAAGAAATCCATGATGGAGTCACTGGAAGACATCTGGGAGTAACGAAAACCCTCCAGAAAGTAAGATAACAGTTTTACTGGGTTAATTGTCAAGCCAACGTCAAGGACTGGCGCAGTATGTACTGCCAGTAATGGACCCCGGATACGACCGAAAGCTCCAATGCGCCAGTATAATGTGGGTAGTCCCGTTCCCAGAGACCGATCATGGGAACAAATCCATCCTGGTAGCCATGGACTACTTCACTAAGTGGGCAGAAGCCTATGCCCTGACCAACCTGGAAACCCTTTACCGTCGCTGACGTCCTGGTATAGGAATGGATATGTCGATTTGATGTCCCATTGGAACTGCATTCGGACCAGGGCAGAAATTTCGTGTCCAACCTGTTCTAAGAAATATGTGAACTGTTGGACATTCGAAAGATCAGAACCACAGCCTTACATCCACAGTCCGATGGAATGGTGGAACGAATGAAGTAAGACCATAAACCGCCACTTGTCCAAGGTAGTCTCCGACCATCAAAAAGGCTGGGACCAGTAGCTCCACCTGTTCCTGTTGGCCTATAGTTCGGCAGTGCACGAGTCAACAGGCCAAACCCCTGCCAGTATTATAATGGGTCGAGAGCTGCGGCTTCCTTGCGACCTAAAATTTCGGACGCTGCCGGAACAAGACACTGCGGGGGAAGACTATGTCAGCAAGCTTCGGCAGAGAAAGGACGACATCCATGAAAGAGTCCGTCTGAACATCCGGAGTGCCAGCGATAGGATGAAGAAGGCCGATGACATCAAGGCGAATGCTGGAGGATTTGAACCCGGTGACCTAGTTTGACTGTACAAACCTAAGCGACGCCGTGGTTTATCACCGAAGTTGCGGAACTCGTAGGAAGGTCCGTACAAAATCATGAAGATGATAAATGACCTCATCTACCGAATCCATAAGCCACCTCGAGAAGAACCTAGGGTCGTCCATTTTAATAGACTGGCTCCTTATGCTGGAAATCACGACCAAGTTCGCGCGCTCTCAGACCACCACAGGATGTAATGACGTTCCAGAAGTTCATGTCTTTATACTCGAACGGACAGAAGGTCGTACATGTGGAATTCAAGAAGATCCACGGGACCATTTCAAGGTTTCAGTTGATTACGCACTAGCTCACTGCGTGGCAGAGGATCTCCAAATGTCCAGTATTGCCGTGGTAATCAACAAGAAATTCGGTCAGCTTCAAAGATTACGAGAACAGAATCCTGAAGTCGAAGGAGTGCTAAGTTGAGCTCACGTAAATCGGACCCGACGTTAGCAGTGTAAACAGTGCTGCCGTTAAGGTACTATTGTACCGCATTCGGTACTATTCCATGATTTTGATACGAAGATACTACCCGGATCAATATGTAGACTATTCGGTACTATTTACTATAATCCCAATTTTTTACATTTTCACGTTGACTCCCATCGAGTACAGTAAAAAATAACAACAATATGTGTGGCAACAATGCAATTCCGTGTTTCAAGTTCCAGATCAGCAAATACCGTACTTGTGTCAAAATTGCGAGCTATCATCATAACTCTGCATTGTTTAATCCTGTGTTCTGTATTGTGCCTGTGAACTGTGGTTCTGTCATCTGTCAGTCAGTCAGCAGAACAGCAGTTTCAACTTCTAACCTCACATTTCACCTTGAGAAATTGGTTTTATTGTTTTGTCAAAATAAAAAGGAATATGGACAGGTAAAAATAAATTCTCGAATCTAGCTACTTGAAAACGTCTTTAGTATTGTTCATTCTATTGTGACAGAAACCTAATTAAAACAAAACACATTTGCAATCGTGAAAGAGCAATTTGAAGAAGGAAAAAGACACCTTTTTATCAAATGTTCTGATTATATCTTTCTCTTATGGAATATTTCTTAGTTTTACTCCATATATTTTCCGAATTTAAATGGATAACATTATTACACGTTTGGCATTACTGGCATTTGGTCTGAAATGACTTATGCGCATGTGCCATGCCTAGTCTGGCGCAGTACATTTTGGGTACTATTTTCTTGTAAATTTCGGTACTTTTTGAATTGACGTTGCGGCAGCACTGAGTGTAAACGGGCACAGTATACTATATACTGTGAAACGGGTATATGATCTGTGGTGTAAACGTCGTAAGTGCTGTGAGCACAATTCGGACCTCGGACCACGGCCTTGGTCATATTCATTTTTGTTATGTAGTCGTAGTGACATACATATAAAAAATAAAAAGCAAACCACTGCGGTATTTTATCGTTTATTTAAAATATAACGTTCTCCATTGCATGCACAGATAGCAGTTCTGGATTACATAACTAAGATTTTGATTACTTTTGGGTCATAACCATAACCATACCACATATTTTATAATTCGAAAAATCTGGATGAAAATAATTTTTCATCGGTACTTTGAAGTGATCAGATAACACAATTATTCATCCAAACTTTTAAATCAATATCCAATATTATAACAAAAATATTTCATGTCTTCAATGTATACGTTTGAAAATGTCCTTATAGGACGAAACTGCAGTAACGTTAGTAACGTTTCATGATCTCCTACCACGTAGTAACGGCTACATACTACGTACAACAATTTATTATTGCATTGAAACGAAAACATTGTTGTCAAGGTTGGGATTCTATATCATCACCATTTTTCCCCCATTGGTTTAGTATAATTTCCGTATGCCACTGCAAAAGACAGATTAAGGCAGTTATTTCTGAGAATTCAGTGCCTACTATTTTGGAATTATAGTATATCCATCTAAATTTAACAGGCGATGGATTGCAATTCAAATTTCCCTCCTTTCCTAACCTCACTAAAACGAGCTACATTTGAGGGCTGATGTAGGTTGTTTGTTTTTGTTCTTTTGTTGTTAAATGTTTTTAGTTAGCGACTGTGCCACATGTCACAACAACAACGTTTTTATCTGTGGACTGTGAGTTATTTGCTGTTATATCAGTTATTACTGTTTCAGTTCTTTTTTGACTATTATAGATGAATGTTCAATTGATATTTTGAAGTATATCTATCTATCTGTCTGAATAATAGAAAAATAAGAATCGTGTGTGTATACTTGTATAGACTTCCCATCGCATTTGATTATGTATTGGGTCGGGATGAAACGATCTCTGATTTCCCGTTCCACTGAGCAAAATAAAGAGGCACCATCTTTTTGTGAAGGTTGTGAAAAAACTGCTGGATTATTAAAGTGCCACTGTGGTGAAGACAGAGAAGTTCAGTGGTGTTGGTCAAATGCAGATGCTAGTGATAATTTATCAATTTTAGAAGATAGTAGAGAAATTCTATTTCATCCTACTTATAGCTGTGGCACAGCAGTGGTGAGGGGTAGAACACATTTTGAACAGAATAAGCATCATTTTTGGGAAGTCAAAATGGTGTCAATTATATATGGTACTGATATGGTAAGTTAGAAAATGATTTGTAATATTTTTCGAAGGTCTGTTGATGTTGTTTTTCATGTATATCACCATGATTACAGTTATTCAATGAATAATAATTGAAAGGTTTTGGTTCAAATTTACATTTCAATCTCTATATGTTTATGAAAAATATTTAAGACCCTGTACTATCCGACTGCCAAAGTAAAAACTGCATATTTTGAAATTCATGAAGTGATACGGTGATTAAGTAAAACCTGCTGCTGCTGCTGTGAACTTGATTGATTTGAAGATGAAATTCAACTATGAAACTCCAACAATCCAACTGTGGAATTTAAAATTGAATATTGTGTTGAAAACGCAAGACATTCAGTATTATTGTGGATGACTAAAAGATTCAGTGAAAGTCGAGGAAAATCTTCACCCATGGATTCAGTGCATGAGAAGAAATGTTAAATCTCAGATATTTATCATAAGGACCATAAGAGTAAACCTTCTAAAGTAATTAGTGTAAACTTCCCAGTACTTAATTCATCAATTACAGGTTTGAACTGATATGGCATCTCATATAAGCAATTTTCAAAACAGTCTTCTTCAATGAAGGATTTGAACAACATTGAAGATTCAATGTTGATTAAGAGACATCAACATTGAAGATTCAATGTTGATGTCTAAAATCCTTGATACTTTACCTGAAAATTAAGTATAAATTTTTGTCTGTGCTGAAAAATCTAAAAGCACAGCAAGGCTATTAGCACCGAAACTCATAACAAATCAGAAGAAAATAAAGTAACCTTAGATCAACATAAGTATGATGTATGAACTACCAGGGTAAACATTTTACACTATTCTGTGAAAACAAAGTTTCAAAAACTGAATATCTTTTAAAATCTGAATATCTTTTAAAATCTGTGAGAAAACTATTATAGATGAATGTTCAATTTGAATCTATCTTCCAGGTACATGTATGTATTTATATGTATAGGTATGTTTGTATGTTTATGTATGCAAGTAAATGTGTATATATGTATGTATTCTACTATCCTTTTGGTTATTTTATATATGCATTAATTAATTTTTGTTCATGTTTCTGTATATATAAATCAATTTCATTATTAGTTTAGATATTTTTTATTAGTTTACCAATGTTATTTCATATAGACTAAGTATGTGATCTTTTTTAATGTTTAATGTACTGAAATAGCTGGAGTAAAATAAAATTATTCAATTTCAATTCAACTCCATTTGCGAATATTTGGATAGCTGGAGTAAAATAAAACTGTCTTTATCAAATTTAAGAATGAGAAATCGATTATTGCTCTTGCAAAAGAAGCTGAGTCAATAGTATCAGAAGAAATTGAAACTATTGAATTCTAGAATTGTGTAATTATCATAAACATCCATTATGTTTCACAACTATCGAAAATTTATATTGTCAGTGAAAGTCGTCACTGATAATAATGCATCAGTGGAATTCAAATGTGATAATACCATAATGAGCGTTGATGGAAAAATTGTTCTTGAAGGATAGAGTACTGAACATTGGCAAATTTCAACTAATGAAACAAAAAGTCTTGGTCCTTGAATAGATAAAAATATTTATATATCAATGGCAATCTAAATTAGCCCAACTTGGTTTTCAGAATTTCTTTTGGAATGAATATTGTTGATAATAACATAAAAAATATGACTGTGAAATGTGCATGAAAGCAGGACCAGGAATTCTTGAGAGCTCCTGCAGAGAGTCTCTTGAAATTCTCCATAGCGACATTTGTTGCCAATTTATACAAATAATTGGAATGATGAAAAGTATTTTGTTACTGCTTTGGATGACCAGCCATTTCAAAGTCGTATATCCAATCCATGCATATAAAAAATCCAATCTTTATTATAATATAATGGAAGTGTAACTGATTGTTGTCTGTATATGGAAGATATTTGAGAAAACTATTATGGGAGATCTTTATTGACGCAATAGAATAAAAAAAAAATGATTTTCAGAATTTTTGTCTGTGCGCTGTGGACGCTAATCACAAAAACAACTTAACCATTTTTGGTGCTTCTTCCACTAATCCACGATAAATGCTGCTTCTCGAAGAACTTTCTAAATTATGAAGAGATGGAGTTCCTACGCATCAATGATTATGTTGGAGTATCTTCTTTCTGCAGGAAAAAAATCATACATGGTGGAACAGCTATTCTCTGTAAGCCAAACTTGAATGTAATATCTAGGATTATTTGAGCCCTTTTTGTACCGAAAAAAGTTTTGAAATTTGTGGTGCTCTCATAGAAAACTTTAATATATTTATTATTCCCATTTACAGATCCCCAAATGGAGATTTTGACATCTTTTTGATCTCACTAGAAAATATTTTCAAAAAATCAGATTGCACAAAACATATCATATTGGCTGGAGATTTCAATGTATTCTTTGGCACAAAACAAAAGGAAAATAGAGCCTTATGTGATCTGCTTGAGTCTTTCGGTTTTCAGAAAATGATTATCTGTCCTACTAGGGAAAAAAATTGTATTGATAATATATACATAAATTTTACATGTTATCCCTACGAACCAACAACAATAGAAACAGATCTATCTGACCACCACGGACAAATCTTGAAATTGGAAATACATCAGAACAAATTGAAAATAAATAAAAAGATAAGCCGACCTATAACAAATTCAGATAAATTTCAGCATTGAAAACACAGTTTGGTCATTTATTGACAACAACATAAAAACTGACAATAAAATGAAAATTCTCATCAGTGTATTAGAAAAAGCATTCATGAAGTCATTTCCTGAAAAAAGATATGATATTAGAAACAAAAAAGCAAATAATACATGGTTTAATGGCGAAATAAGAAACATGCGAGACCAGCTCCACCTCTTGAACGAAATATATATAGAGCATCCTTCTGATAATTTCAAACAACAACTAAACAGTTTGAAAAAAATATACAAAAAAACTATTGCATGTGCTAAAAGGGAATGTAATGATAATCATATAAAAAAATTGAAAAATCAAAATAAATACATGTGGAATATCATATCAACGAATTAAAGATCCACCAGTCTCACCAAACACCTTCAATGCCTACTTTGTAAATAATGCAAAAAACCTAATCCAAGAAATAGATAGTTCAAACTTGGACCCTCTCAAAAAACTAAACAATTTGAATTTTGAAAATTTTACTCTAATAGAATTTACCTACAATGAAGTTAGAGATGTAATAAAATCATTAAAAAATAAACCCAGCAGAGATATATATGTACTGAATGTTTAAGTGATCAAATGCATATTGAATTTAATCCTAATCCCTCTAACTAAACTGCTGAACCAGTGTACAAAAGAGTGCATTTTCCCCTTCGTTTTGAAAGAAGCATTAGTAATACCTATCTTCAAAACTGGAAATCCAAATGATCCTACAAAATACAGACCAATATATCTGCTACAAATAATATCAAAAATATTTGAAAAATATATAGCTCTAAAAATTGTACATCATTTTGAGAATTATAACATATTCACAAACTGGCAGTATGGATTCCAAAAAGGTAGAAACACTTAAATGGTGATACTTGATCTTAGCAAAAAAATAACAACTTTTGAAAAACTAGAGTATACAGTAATAACTTGTTGTGATCTAAGCAAAGCATTTGATTGTGTATCACATGAAATTTTCTTGAATAAATTAAAACTATATAATTTTTCTGACAACACTATAAAGTTGGTCAACTCATACTGAGAAAATCGATTTCAAACTGTGAAAGTGGGCAGTTCTCTATCAACCAGAAAAAATTACAACTGGTGTACCGCAAGTATCTATTTTGGGACCTCTAATATTAATAATTTTCATTAATGACCTACCATATCGGAAGACTTCGTTATCATATATTTTATATGCAGACGATACTAAAATCCATACAAATGCTAAAACTCTAGATGAGGTTCTTATATTATCCTCTGAAGTACAGTCACAAACTGAAAGGTGGTTCAAAGCAAACGAATTATATCTGAATAACAACAAAACCCAAAACATGGTATTCACTCTAAGAAATATGGAAAATTACTCAGATTCGCAAAGTAGTGTGAAATTTTTAGGAATTCATTTTGACAGTGAGTTAAAATGGGATCATCACATAAATGAACTATCAAAAAAGCTCATGAGAAATCTATTTTTACTAAGAAACCTTTCCAGACAAGTTTCAAAGGCAACTCTTTGAACGGCACATTTTTCCTTGTATGAATCCATTATTTCTTATGGTATTGTCGCCTGGGGACATGCAACAGATTGTGATAGACACCAAAGGAAAGCAATTAGAATATTAGACAATTCGACTACAGAGATGAATGTCGAAATTCATTTATTACATTAAAAATACTAACCTTCCTTCTCTGTATATCATGGAAAATTTAATATACATTAAAAATAATCTATCTCAATATGTAAGTTTTGAAAATGTGCACGACCACAACACTAGGCATAAAAATGATTTGAGTACAAACTACTGTCTCTTGAAAAGATTTCAAAATGGACCAAATTTTTGGGCTGTGAAATTTAACAATAAATTACCACAAAAAAATCTCTATCTATTAACATATTCAAAATAAGGATAAAACATTTTTCAATGAAAAACTCCTTCTTCAGCACCGAAGAATTCCTGCACTGTGATATAAGTTCCTTAACCATATAGGCATTTGTCGCTGTTTTATAATACACAATTTTAAATTTTACTGCTTTGTTTCTAAATGTGCTCGTCGACATAACTCAGGTGTACTTATGATATATAAATATTTAAAAAAAAAACTTGTTCTATGAATTGTAAGCATCTATTGTTTATGTAAATATTAATAGATGCCTGACATATGCTAATTTTATTAATATGTATGTATTGACTTGTGTAAATACTGATGAATGTATAAAACAACCAATAAATTATCTATCTATCTATCTATCTATCTATCTAATGTATAGTGGTAATCTTCACATAACATTTTTGAATTAATTTCAGTCAGGTCA